AAGTAACAAGTATTCTCCCTCCTGGTGAAAAAGCTTAATTGAGACCATATTGAGCACTTTAGACACAGCCCACAGCGCCAAAGATAGGCAAGACATGCAATGCTCAGCAAAGGCATCTCTCAGAAGCAAAGGCAGCAGCCAGAGCTTCAGGAGACACAGATGTTAAGTAAGACCCACCATACAAAAGACAATCCACTGGGCACAACATGACAAGCCTGAAGCCATGAGTGCAGGAACACTGCCCCTGGCTCCCGGAAGTCCTGCTCCACACCTGTGAGCAGGTGAGGGCCCAGTTAAGTCCATGAACATACAAACTGCCTGCAAGGCACCAGGAGGTTCAGGGCTTACCAACCATCATCCTCAGGCACCAACCACAGCCAGGCCTGTCATTCCACTCCAGCAAAGGAAGCTGAAACAGAGCTGCCCAGTGCTAGAGGAGACCAAGAGATCACTCCATGGAAGCCCACCTCTCCTCTGCTTTTATAGCACGTACTCGTGAATGCTACCTTCACCTCCTTTTACTGTTGCCCACTGCATTACAAAAGCATGGACACCTGCCCACCCAACCCCCACTCCCTGAGAGGTGCCCATTCTTCATCTGGAGGTAGGACAAACCACCCCACAAATGCAGGGTTAGAGGAAATCTGGTGGGTAATCAGAAGTCTGCAAGTCTCTGTTCGGGAGGCTGGGTGCCACCATCACACCCCTCCTTCTGCCTAACAGTTTCCAGTGACCCCATATTCCTAACAGGGAAAACTCACACCTTGCTCTTTCTCAAGATCCTTCTTCCCATGGTGATCAGGAAGCCTCAAAGGTCAGCCTCTGCAGACCCACATCAACACGAACACACACCTAATTTAGCCTGCGCTTGGCTACAATCGTGGAGTCTAGGAACTTCACAGAGCTGGCAACTAGCCATCTCCTCAAAGTACCCCCAAAACCCATACATGTGCCTAGAAGGAAAGAGGCCAAAATAGCCATGTACCTGAGTTCCTCAGTTCAAGAAATTCTCACATGGGCCTCTATGCAGGCGCAAGCTTCCCTAGACCACATGCAGCTCCTCTCCCAGGAGCCCTCGGTCCCAGAGCTTCACATCACCTATGACATAGGTGCAGGAAGGCCTAGACAACAGTGGTGCTGCACCCCACCCACTTCTCACCCACACTGAAGTTACCGGGACAGCCGATGGCCCGTCACTCTAAAAGTCACCCGGTGAGAGAGAGCAGGGACTTCTCTCATCTGTTCACACCCCTACCTGGACTGAGCTCTCTGCACGTGGAACTTTTCAGCTCTCCTAACCCAACCTGCGCTGTTTGTTCAGCAACTTTGGGGAAGAACTTCAAGTATGCTTGATTTCAAAACACTTGAAGTTCTTCATTCACCAAGAGGTTTCATTTAAACAATTCTATGTGGGGACAGAAGAAGCCATTTCCATCTTAACACTGGCCCTAATTTAAATATCATGTGGTCATTGAAAGTCACCTAGATAACTAGATGATGCTATCAAATGAAGGATCGACCCTCCTGACCCTAAGGAACATCCTGTGCAGCCCTATGGCTATAGACTTAGTCTTCTCTACCACCCAGCTCCCCTGTCCCATCCAAGGGACTTCTTGCTGCTATAAATAACTCTCCTCTCTTAACTTGCTGGAACAGTGAGGTCAGTGGGTTAGAGAGGCCTCGAATAAGGGAGAATGGGAGAGTGACGCTGGGCCTAGTGAGGATTTATAATGGGGAAGCATCCAGAGCTTCCCTTAGGTGGTCGTGAATATCCATGGGCTGAAGGAGTCACAAACTCGGTTAAGTCCTCAACAAGAAACCCACACTAGGATGTGGCACTTGTAGTTTCCAAATGTCTTCAAGCCTCAACTCCCCACCCCCACTCCTGCTTGTTAACCTGCTTGCTCCTCACAGTAACCAAGAGGTTAGGTAGCTAAAGCTCACAAGACTTCACGATTCCCCATTTTTAAAGCTGGAAAAGTGCACCTCTCAACAGTGTCAAGAGTGGCCCACAGTCCCACACCTGGCAGAGAGAGACCTAGGTGTCTCATGCTTCCCATTCCTTCCAGCAAACCCTTCCTTCTGTGTAATGCTACTGTTGCTCCTTCAGGTAAGGCCCTTACACACACTGCTACTGCAGTCTAGTTTCAGGAAAGCGTTCACCAGAACTGGGTTTAGTGCAGTGGCACCCTGCTTGCTTATTAACACTACAAGTCCGGGTCTCATCTCCAGTGCCACTAAATAAGCAGAGAAAGATTCACCAACAGTTACTACGTATGGCTAGCAGACTAGACTCAGTTTCATTTCTGTCTTGAATGGAGACAGAAATCAAGAAAGCGATAAAAACTCTAATTCTAAACGTGGCCTTTTCTCTGCTACATTATAGATTATACAGCTCATCATATAAAACAGCCAGAGATAGCCAACACTAACTAACCCTCCCACTTCTTACCCAAAAGCTTTAATCTGTCCCATCCAAGGCATTTCCAACACTCAACCTCACAGAGGCTCCTCGGACATGTATACAATTCAGCACAAACACAAAGCTGAGACCTTACAAAAAAAAAAAAAAAAAAAAAAAAAAAAATTCCAGTAAAAATACTCAGTCTCTGTACAACCATGGGAAAATTGCAAGCTCCTTGGTCAGGGACAATACAAACTGCTTTCTCAAAGCATTATGCACTGTTCTTTCTTTCACACATTGTCTGAGTGTTTACTAGGGGCCAGCTACCTGGCAGCCATCACTGCCTAACTGACTGAGGCACCCTCTTCCCCCCACTCTAGGGTACAGGCAGGCGGAGAATGACTGCTGCCCCTCTGTTCACCAGGGAAGTGCACAACTGCCCAGGATGCCCAGCATATGGCAAGGCTGGTGCCAGAAAAAGGCAAAGCGGACAGAGGGTGCCAGTTTGCAACAGACATTGGACCAGGGCTTTCCATTACCCAATACACCCAACAGTCCTCAAGATCCACTAAAAACAACCTGATGAGTTCTGAAAGGTGCCTCATGCAAGGCACAGATGTGGGCATGGCAGCTGTCATGCAAAGGAGCTGGGGTAAAGAACTGTTAAGACTCCAGTCCTTTGTTTCAACAGTTCGAGGTTATGCCCAATGTCAATCTACCGGTCAGCTGTATGTCCCCAACAAATAAGCAACACTGCCTCTGAATCAATTTACTCTGATTCTCTCTGACACTACTGCCAAAGAAGCTATTATTTAAATGCCTAAAGTCACACTGAGTTAACAAAAAGTTCTGCCTTCACGTCTTCCTGGCTGCTAAGTCAGACTTCACAGCATAGTTAAGAAAGGTTTGATTCACTAAACTCTCCTTAGGTCAAGGACAGCCAACAGAAGCCGCCTCCTGAAGCAAGCTGCCCAAAACGGAGTGGCTATATGTTCTAAGCATGAGCTTCATGCAAGTCTTTTAAGCAAAGCCGTCTTCTGTCCAGACTCTTTATGAGAATAATAATGGGGCGGTAAGAAATACTGATTACCAAATAATATAAAAACCAGCGATCTAGCCATGAAACGTCTAAGTCTGTGTACCCCTAATAAAACAAGGTTTAGTTTCAGGTTTTTCCTCCACACTGAAGTAACTGAATAGAATAATAACTAAAGAAACAAAATAATAAAACAGGTTCTGAGTACTACCAAAGTTTACCACAAAGCAAAGTGAGAATGCCAAAGTTACAGATCTGATTAAATGTCAGAATTTAATGCCACAGTAAGAAAGTTTCCAGGTCCCCTAATTTTTGAACTCCACAAGTCGTAGCTTATCTAGGAAGGCTGGTAACATGGTTCTTGTTTACAAACAAAATGTACAGTTAAGTAGAGAAACAAGTCAAATATTGGGAGTGTAAACAAAATGTTAAGCCTTGGCCCAATGAAATCTCAATACACAGTTAAAACACTTGGGGGAGAGCTGGAATTTTCTAGACTCTCATCATCTGACCCAGAATCAAAGTATTTAATGAACTAAAGCAGCAAGTAAATCACCATCAATAAATAGAGAAATGTAGTCAGCAAGCGACCCACTGGCCATCCTTGGGCGAGCCTATTTTACTTTGCTGTGAAATACAAAGAATATGGAATTGAAAAGTCACAATGAGCTCATCAAATATTGCTTGAGAGTTTTCCAAAACCACGTTTATGCTTTTATTTATAGCCTCACTCCCACAACATACTTTGCAATGTTCCGTGAAAAGAACGGGCTTGTTCAGATTATTATTTTTTTTTTTTACTAAGATCTAAGGAAAAAGCAAAAAACAAAACAAAACGAACAAACAAAAAACCCCAAAAGCCCAATGTCCTTGTTTTAATAAAAACGACTGTATCGTGCCTTGGCCTGTTTTCAAAATAGGCTCAGTAAGAGATTCCCAAATTCGCGTTAAAGTTTTTCGTAAAAATATTCCAGCGACGTATCTGCATGCCAGCTGGAAATATGATATAGCCATCCAAACTATTTTCCTACCCACAAATTATCCCCTCCCTTTTATAAGTGTGACTACATTCTACCTTCTGTTCAAAACATCGTCTACACAGAACTGTAAAACTGACGGCACGGCAAGCCCCCTTAACTTCCACAAAGCCCAATGCACCCGGTGCGGCAGCCCAGCACCCTCGGCCCCCGGTACACCCCACCTTTGTCTCTCCCAGGTCCGGCTCTCCCTTCCCCTCTCCCTCCTCCGCCGCGTCCTGCGCTGTCAGCGGAGCCGGAAGGCGCGGGCGGCCCTCCCTCGCGGCGCGACCGGCCCGATTCCGGGAGCAGGGCCGGGCCCGCACTCGGGGGCCGCACGCGCACTTCCCGCCGCGCGGTCGCTCCGGCGCAAGTTCGCAAACAGCCCGAGCGCGCCGAGATCGCCGTGATTCAGCAGCGGGCCGGGCGGGGACGGCGGGCCGAGCCCGGAAAAGGTCACCGCGGCGCCACGGGCAACGCCCGGCCTTCAACCCTTACGCCCGCGCGGGTGCGGCCCGGGCCCAGCGGCGGCGGAGATTCCTACCTCTGCGGCTCTTCGGAGAGCTCCGCTTGCTCCGGGCGCTGGCTCGCTCTTCCTCAATCGCAGCTGCTATCTCGGGGTTGTCTTCCCCATTGTACCAGACCAGGAGCTCCTCGCCAGGCGCGATTGGCTACAGAAGAGACGAGACAAGGTGCGAGCCAATCAGAGAGGCGGTTGTTGGCGGGGGCGGCGCGGCGACGGGCAGCAGCGGCGCGCCGACCGCAAACAGCTGTCGGGAAGGCGCCGCCGCCGCGGACGCGCAGGGAGGAGGCGGGGCCAGCGAGCGCGCAGGAAGGAGGCGGGCCCAGGGGCGCGCGCCCGGACAGGAGGTGGAGCTGTGGCCCGGGCTAGCAGAAAACTCCTTGGCTGACAGGGCCCAGGCAGGACACTCAGGGCACGCAAGAGGACCTGGCAGTTTGTCACAGAGACTCACAGGAGTGCTGATCTGGGACTAGTGCTCAGCCTCCATCACCAGATTCTTAGAGCTTGCTACAAGCCTCATTCCACCCTCGCAAGAGAGAAAATAAAACACGGGACCATTCTGCCCATGGAACTCGAGTGGATGAGAAATTTAAAGGTCCATTAAGAAGCAAATGGCATGGGAAAGAGTCAGAAGCATAGTTTCTAATTCCAAGCACACGTTAAGCAGGAACGCTCTGCACCTTTATCCATGCACACAACCGCTATTTATAATTACAGAAGTGCTGAGCTCAGGCAGAGCTGCACTTAGCATCCTCAAAGCAGTCACCAACCAGCTCAGGCCTGTGAAGACATATCAAAAGTATACATTTCTAGTTACAGAAATGCCTACGAATACTTCCCAGGCATTATGCTCCTAAAACATTAAATTTTTCACAGCCACTCCTTACACCATCATACAACTATACCTGAAACACATTGAAGAGTCGTTTGGAGTAAAAAAAAAAAAAAAAAAATTGAGTTCAAAACAAAACTGGGGAGGTGACATAGTTTTCATTCAATCTTAGGGACTCATCTGTTCGGAAAGTTAAAGTAAAAGCCTATCTGAACGCTGACACTGATGACACAGATGATCGAAGAAAGGCAAATAAAAGGGAATGTTGAACCAGTGGGAAAGAGGGAATTATAATAATCCGTATCACAATCATCAACACAGATTGATCCAGACCAAACTCCCAGTGAACCTAAGGGAAATAGGTGAAAGTCTGAGAAGTTTCAGAACATTTGCCTCCTGTCAAAATCCTCTCCCCACAAACAGCTATCAGTCACAAAGGGAGGAAGATCTTTATAATGCATGGAGAGAGAAGTCATAAGTGGGATCTAATGAGAAGCCCAAATTGAATCTCCTCAGCACCAAAACGTTATCAAAGAGCAAAGGACTGTCCAAGTGTGATGGCTAGTCTTAGTTGTCAACTTGACTCTATCTGGAATGAACTATAATCCAGATATGGAGGACACACTTTTGAACCCACTCTTAAGGCTGGAACACACACTCCTTTAATCCAGATCTGGAGGTGGAAAGACACACTTTTAATCTGAGCCACACCTTCTTTCTGCCTGCCTGCCTGCCTGCCTGCCCTCGACTTGCCAGCCCATCCATTCCTTCACTGCATTAGAGCCTACTTTGGGATTCCAGCATATACAGAAAAACAACTGAGACACCCAGGACTAAGTAGGACTAAGCAACTACTATATTCTTGAACTTTACAATCACAGCTAGCCATTGTTGAACTGCAGCCTTTAAGTCATGCCGATGATGTGTGTGAGTGTGTGTGTGTGTGTGTGTGTGTGTGTGTGTGTGAGAGAGAGAGAGAGAGAGAGAGGGAGAGAGAAAGCAGAAGAGAGAGATTCATTCTATAAATTCTATGAGTCTAGAGAACCCTGACTAATTCACCAATTCTAGGAGACAGATGTGAGCCAAAAATTCTTTTCCTACAAGCACATGAGTGCTACAATCTTGGCTGAGTGGACAGATCAGCTAATACAATCCTGCCTAGATGCTGGCTCCCTGATGTGTACTGTGGCTATGTAAAAGTTTGGTCCTAAGGTTTTTGTTTGTTCTTTGTTTGGCTTTTTTGGGACATGGTCTTACTATGTAGCCTGGGCTAGCCTGGGACTCTCTAGGTAGACCAGGCTGACCTGAGAGATCCGCCTGCCTCTACCTCCCAAACACTGGCATTAAAGGTGTGTGTACCACTCAGTGCATTTTTGTTTTAAAAAGGAAATTCCATCAGAGATGTCAGTTTATGGTTCCTTACTTTCACAAGCTTTCAGTTTAGATAATGAGCATGATGTTGTTTCCACTGTCTACAGAATTCCCACAACTTCAAAATATTCAAGCTGTTTAAATTTAAAAAAAAAAAAAAGCCACTGTTTACTTTGTTCCTCCAAAATAGCTAAAATCTGCCACTTTATTGTTTTTGAACCAATATCTCATATCCCTTCTAGCACCAACTAAATTTAACTAAAAACCCTAATTTAACAATCTATTAATGAGCTAAATGCCTTTTGGCACTCTGATAAACTAATCTGTTTTGTTTGCTTTTCAGAATTAAATTGTTTTTTTAGAGCATGTAAATTTTAGTTCATTTCTCTTTTATGCCACACACTCACAAAATAGTATTATAAACACTATTTGAAATGATTAGGATTCTAGAAAATATAAAAGTAAATTTTTAAATTAAAGGGGAAAGAGTGAGGACAAATGTATGCTTACCATAGTCTTCAGTCAACAGCATGATCAGAACACAGGCTAGAAGCCACCACGAGACACTCAGCTTCCAAGAACAAGAAACCCTGTTCCTAGCTCCTGTTTCCCTTTTCACTGATCTGTGGGCATCAGCAGAGCTAACTGCATGTCAGGAGGAGAGGAATTAAATATCTGCACAGGGCCAGGGTAAATAAAGCTCAGTGCCCTGGGTTTGATCCCCAACACCAATAGATGGAGAGGGTAGGAATAAGTACAAGTCCCTTATATAGAAGGGCACTCATGTCCATTCAAATTATTCTTTATTGCAAAACACAACCTAGAATTGGTGTACTGCAAATCAAATTAAAAAATAATTTAAATGTTGATAGATAGGAAGGATTGAAAGAAAGCCTGGTTTGTTCAGTACTGACCAACTTTCAACACTGTCAGTAACTGAGACGTCACTATACTATGGAGCTACACATACTAACAGACACTTCTCTTACAAAAGAGAAAGATGGTATTTTTAGTTGTTTTCTGTAATCCTTAGCATTTTCAAGATTTCTCACAACAATTCATTTACAAAGCCTGTGTCAGAGAATACAATACTGACTTCTGGAGAACACAGGTGATCACTACTGAGGGGCCCAAAAGGCCACAGGCATACCTGAACAATTACCAGAGGGCAGGCCGGCAGGCGTACAGAGATCAGAACTTAAACCCTGCCAGTGCCCATCATTAGTTCACAATTGGAATAGTTATTAATCCTCTACACTGATCCACTAATGTAGGCTCATCTGCTTTTTACAGCAACTGTATGAATTAGCTTTATGAGTTAGATATCTACTCCCAATATAAAACCTGAAACCTGAAATGCTCCAAAATGTAAACCTTTTGAGTGGTGACATGACCCCCACAATCAAAAGCAGGACCAACAGCGCCCCTGTCTGTCTGCTTGTCTCAGGTGTGTCTGAGACATACATGAATTCTGTGTTTAGATGTAGACATCCCCAAAAACTAAGTGTATGCAGGTGTTCAAAATACAAAACACTCAGACACTAAACACTGTAAATAAGGAGCACTCAACCTAGACAGTTACCTGCATCCTTAGTTTACCCTACACAGCTGCCTCCATCATTAGTTTACACTGCCTGTCTCACAGCCACTTTGTCTCCACCAGGATTCTACCTTGCCAACAGAACCAGATGTGTCTCCTGCTTGAGATGTATTTGAGAAACAGTATGAATCCTCAGTAGAACTTGGAACCAGGCAGCAGGGCTACTAGAATAGCCTGTAACTACAACTCAGCAAAAAGAAATAAAAACAAGGTTTTCAACAGCCTAGCTATGAAAACAAAAACAAAAACAAAAAACAAACTCCAAATCTTGCAGGACCTGGAAGCCAGGATTAGATATAAACATGTCACATGCAGTCCAGTTATGTGGCAATGCTGCGACAATACAATGAAGGAAAATTTAACAGCCATAGGCTAACACAAATTGCAGAAGGCCTTATGCTACGTGCACACCTAAAAATGCAGGACACTGTCTGAAACACTCAAGAGTTTCCAACTCTGTAAAGACTTTAAAAAGAAACAAAATTTCTATAGACATGTCCCCCAGTCTGTGATATATACAATGGGACCAAGTGAATGAAGAGCTAAATTGTTTGTTACAGCAACTTGGACAGAGGTATTTATTCCAAAAGAAACAACCACCATCTATCTCTCCAGCCCCAAGATTCCATTCTAGAACATTCCATGCATGGAATGTCACTCTGCTGCTACAGAAACGTGACCTGTGAAAACAAGAGAGGGAGACAGAAATGTGCTAACACGAAAAGCATCCTAGTAGTATAAAGACCCCAAGTGCAATGGGAACCCTCATCACCAGCTCTGGGAATGGCCGTCCTCTTAATATCAGCAGCTAATGTCTCCAAGAAATATTTAGCAGGAGAAAAATATATCCCCAATTCTATCCTGAATACAATCGAAGGAAAGGGAAAGCTAATCCAAAGCTTCATGCACACTGAACACTGTGTGTTTCCTGTTAACACACACCACGATGGTACTCACAGTGGGATAAATCTGCAGACAGCCCATGTAAGGCCTCACCAGCCATGTATTTAACAAGAGCCTTGGGTTCATGGATGAACCACCCCAAACACTACCCATTCCAGGTCTGCAAAGTTGTTCTTGTCAGTCACAACTAGACTGCATTTAGAGAATGCACGCAGAGCAGCCAGGAGTAGACTGAACACCAACACTGTTACCTTTAAGGTTTTATAGTAAATGGCTCTGTTGATTTCCAGCGGAAATAAATTCTGCTCTTCACCAGAGCAAGCCCAGTTCACATAGCGCAGCCAGTTGCCCTTCTCTGGATCGGTGGCATCAATGCACATCCACCCCAAATTTGGGTAGTACACCTATGGACAAAGAAGGACAAGCATGTGTTAGGACAAGAATGCCTAAAACCAGTTTCACCTTCAACCTTCTAAACAGCTGTTTGCGTTACACACAAGCACTCTACACATTTCAGAGAAACAAGACAAAGAAGCAATAAAGAAAACGACAGGCAGGAAACAGAAGCTGTAAAACCTTATTCATTCTTTAGGGTCGTGTGTGTGTGTGTGTGTGTGTGTGTGTGTGTGTGTGTGTGTGTGTGTGTGTGGTGTGTGTGTCCGCCACAAATGCTTCCTGTACATGAAAACAGGTTACAACTACATGCTCTCAAATGTGACTTATTCTAAGATATTCTGCCAGTCCAGTCCAGGGCTTCTGGGCTACACAGTCACAGTTGTGAAGTGTTCTAGCTGGCATGACTTACAGGGACTTCACTTGCTGTGAACCACTAGGTGGGTGGTTTTGTAAACCTCACAACTGTCCCTTAACACCTCCACCATCCAGCACATGTGTCAGAAGGAAGGTTCAGCGAGCATGTCTGCAAAGTTCTGGGATGCTGCAGGAAAGCAACTGAAACCCCAGGACACAGGATCTACTCCCCTAGGAAGCTTCCCTGATCGTCCACACTTGCTCCTCCGACACTGCCAATAAACACTTAGTTGGCCATGCCTCCATTTTAAAGAGCATCACCTCTGCAGGGAGTTTGAATTTTAAATGTACACATATATGTGTTTATTTCACAAAACTGAACCAGAACTACAAACAGTCATTCTTTTTTAGGAAGAAAGGAAGGATTCTGGGTGTGTCTCTTCTCCACACACACTTTGACTCCTCCCATTCCCTTCTTTCTTCCCCTCTCCCACCATATTACTTGCCTTCAGCTAGGTGACTCCCTGCTCTCTGCTGATGGTGGGGATGCTGACTTCCTGATCAAGCCTGGGTCCCCGAGCTCTAAGTCTGGCTCTCACCTTCCAAGACACTGACACTTCTAAGCTACACACTCTGAGTCAGACCTCATTTCCTATTTTCCCCCTTCCACATTCAGAAATCAGGGCTTGGAGGTAGAACAGCCTTCCTTTCTCAATCACTTGGTTGGAGGAAGAGAGTCATAAGCCCGGGCCTGTTTGACCTCCATCTGTGGCTGCTTCCCTGACTAACTGACCACCCTAGGTAAGACTACAGGCTCATCTCTTCCCACCTGCACCTGGGCCTCCTTAGCTCTTTTAAAGGTAGACAGACACACACATGCACACCCTTTCCTCTTCAAAACAGAGACCCCTCAAATAGTATGCTATGAAGAGGCAGTTGAAAAATTGTTAAACACAATACACAAAACAACACAGGCTGCTTTCCAGTGTTTAAGGACTAAGACTGCCCCATTTGGCAGCTCAACCAAATATGGAAAGTGAAGTGAATGATCCATGAACAGGGCCAATCCTCTGGCTAGTTCACTAATTCACACAGGTATTATTATCCCCTGTGCCCCCAGGCTCAGAGATAGCCATTTTCTTCCTTTTATTTTTTAATGTATATCTGTAGACATCAGGATCCTACCGGATCACCACCAACACACTGGCAGTATCGCCAGGTATCAATCTGACTGCAGACACAGCAGCAGCTGCCAGGAAAACCCACCGCATAGAAGGTGAAGGTGGCAGTCTGACTATCCATCTGCTTGAATAACAACTTGGGCTCTGCTGGAACTTCCTGGAGTCAATAGAAACCTTTGCAAACAAAGTGTTCCAGTTGAGTGACTTCTTTATTTATATGTACCTCATTGTATCTCAATGGGAATAAGGCATATTCTAAGGCACAATGATGTTCATAAAGAAAAATGTTCCACAGAAAAAGATGAATACAACAGAGGGGGTTGGGGAAGGGGTGTGGGGAGAGGGGCTCTTGCTGTTTTGTTTTGTTTTCTGAGAGAGGGTCTCACTCTGCAGTACCATACATACACAAACACATTGCTGACTGAACAAAGCCACTTACTGAAAGAATGAGCTATTTATTTTTACCCCAATCATAAGAATATATGAAGAGAAAATAATCTAAAACTACACATAAGAAAATGTCATTAATGGCTTTCTCTGAGAAAATGGGATAACTTGGTATTCTTTCCTTTTGCTTGTCTACACTTTCAGCCTTTCCTCCATTTACAGCGGGGCAGGATGGGAGCGGGGAAACATGCAGAGCAGTTACTGTCCTGAAGAAGGTGTACATCTGCATCAACTGCCCAAGGTCTCCTGGGTGCTAAGGAAAGCCACAACTTAGTTACACACACACACACACACACACACACACACACACACACACAAAGCTTGGTGGCACACCAAACTTTAATCCCAGCACTTATCATCTGGGATGTAAATTGGCAGCCACCCTGGTACACATGGCAAGTTCTAGGCCAGCCAGGGATACATAGACTCTGTCTTTAAATATCATGAAAATAAAAAAATAAATAAATAAATAAATAAATAAATAAAACTAGTGTTCTTACTTTTGCTGAGTTTTAGTTTGTTAGAGGGGAACTAAGATGGGAATATGATTTGATACAATTCCAAGGTTTACTAGTCAAGCATCAATTTCTAATCACATTAAATTCAGTGACTGACACAACGGGTATTTCTAAAATGTAGTAAATGTTTTGCTTAACTACTAATTGTAAGCTACAAAAGTGCCGTCCACTGTCAGCCAAGGGGAGTGGGGGGACAGTGACAACCAACTATGATCTCTTCCTCCATCAGTCACACAGCAGGCAACCTCCTTTCCTAGCTAAAAAACCAACAAGAGACCCTGAAGACCACTATGTCCACATACTTGGCTCACCTGATTCCAAAGAGGAACTGCACACAGAATCAAAATCTTCATCCTGATGCAACCCTAAAGCAGCAGGGTATGGAGTACACACTTGTGAGGACAGCTTGCATAAGCTGACTTCCAGGCCCCACACCTCAGCTGGGAAGGAGGACCAAGAAAAGTAACCCTGTGCCAACTCTTTACAAATTGCTTTTGTTCAATCTTTGTAAGGGTCTACAAAATTATAAATATTATGTCTTTGATATTTAGAATTTGTTTATGTGTGTATGTGCTTGTGTTTATGGAGAAGGTGTGAGTGTGCACGTGGGTGCTGGTGCCCAAGGAAGCTGGAAAGTGCCAGGTCTACTAGAGCTGAAATTAATGAAACAGAGTCTAAGTCCTTGGCAACAGCAAATGTGCTCCTAACCACTGAACCATCTCTCCAGCCCCTGTAAAAGTCCTTTTTGTAAATGAGGAAACAGCAGATGGGCAATTTTAGTAGAATAACCAAACCACTAAAAATCACAGTTAGTACTCAAACCTGATCTTCTCATTTCTTCCATCAAAATGAAACAGATAGGCAGACAGGGAGCAGGGAAGAAGAGCTTTAACTAAGACCCTCTTTATAATCCCTCTTCTGATGGCTAGGGTGTAACTCACAGTAGGTAAAGTGCTTATCCAGCAGGCTGCCCGAGTGTTATCCCCAGCAGACTAAACAAAAGGACAGAGCTTTCTTTCCACTCCTGACTCCTCCTGGTTAGGGTATGGAAGCCATTCCTGTTTCTCACAGAGCGACTGGGTGCCAACTCTTCTTCAAGCACAGAATAAATGCCCTGTAACTTAACTTCAAGTCTATTTAATCCAGTCATTTTAAAATAATCTACACTCAAATGCAGTCTGCATGCCCATTTGAATGTAACACATTCATACCACGTCAAAGTCACATCTCTTTGCCATTTAAATAGAACTTGCAAAGAACAAACCACATTCTATCTCCCTTAATCATTTATTTATTACTCTGTAAGCATATTGGTTAACTTTGGAAATTTAAAAAACAAAATTCTCATTCACTCTATGAAGCATAACATCACTCAAACTCTCAAGTGTTCACAAGATCCTAGCCCAGTAACTACAGCAAATAGCAAACTGCCAGACATAACTGGCTAGAACTGATGAGACAAGGCAATCAAGAAATCTCACACTGGATCAATTCTCATATCAAGTTGAGTATTAGGCCTGATTAAAGCAACTCTCTAACATGACAGCCTAAAGTGACAAAACAACATCCCTAGGCTATTGTCTGGACTTCCCTACAGTGCAAATACCAAGTGTTGCCAACCCTTCACCTCTCCTGGAGGCCGGGCTCCCACATTCGAAACCCCAGTCTGCGTATACTGTCAGAGGTTCCTTTTCACAACTCTGTATCTTCCCAGGAGGTTTCTTGCTGCACTTCAGCATGATGATCTAAACCAGCAATTTTCAACCTATGGGCAAGACCCCTTTGGGGGTCAAATGACCCTATCACAGGGGTCGCTTAGATTTTCAGAAAACACAGATATTTACATCATGATTCATAGCAGTAGCAAAATTAGAGTTATGAAGTAGCCGTGAGATAATTTTATGGTGGGGGGGGGGGAAATCACCACAACATGAGAAACTGTATTGAAGGGTGGCAGCATAAGGAAGTTTGAAAACCACTGATCTAAACTGTTCTGTGCTCATGCTCAGCTACAATTTTTAAAGATGTTTTGATCCTCTACAAGATCAAGTGTTTTTCTTCACTGTTTAGGCTCAAATAATATTACCGAGTTAGAATCATCTGTAGCAACTAATTTTAAAAGTATCATTGAACCTGCAAACAGAGCTATGAAGACAAAAAAGAAAAAGGTAACCTCACTTTGGCATGAAAGAGTAATAAATGTATCTTCACAAGCCTTAAAGGAGTTTACTAATACTACCACAAAAATACCACATCTTTGTGACACGTCCAACCCCATTTGCACTTTAGTGACAGAGCTAGATGCTTTCAGGTCTCATTAAGGATACGCAGACTGTTGCCCAACAGAAGTAACTGTCTGGGGGCTACAGACAAAAATGTATCATCACTATCAACTACTCTACTCCTCAGATTACTTTAGAAGCTCAAGGGCTTCTCAAATGTTCTAAACATTCTACAATAAAGAAATGAGCTGGGCATCGGAGGCATACTCCTTTAGTCCCAGCACTT